TGTACACAGTGGCACAACTCCGATGACGAAGCACAAAAATTAATATTAAATTATTTAACGAAAATTTAACTTTTTTTATTGAAAAAATTTGTATATAATGTTCAAATATTGTATAAAACGTATTAAAAGTTTCAAGAACGTAATTCTTATTTTTCTTTGAGAAAAAAATTTGTTAAAAATCAGCCTTTTTTCGGACTTCTAAAATAGGTTCCCCCCTTAAAAGGAAGATCTTCTACTGTTTTACGATATTCACAATAATTAACGAGAAATTAATTAAACAAGATCAGTCAATCCTTGCGAGCATAAGCGCGCGAGAAAGGCCATCCCACTGTAACTTGATACTAGGTGCGCGACGAAGCGGTGGCGGGCGCTTTCTAAAACATAATGGCGGCGCGTGACATTTCAGCGTTATGTTTAATGAGTAAACTCCATCCACCGCTCGTCACGCGCTTAGTATCAAGTTACAGTGCGGATCCTTTCTCGCCGCGCGCGTATACTTGCACGGATTTGTTGATCTTCTATAATTAATTTTTCGTTAATTATTGCGAAAATCGCAAAACAAAGACTTTCCTTCTTAATTTGAGCCAAAAAGTTATCAGACACCCTGTATACTGTCTGTATTTTTAAATGATAGCTGAGTAATAAATAATTTATTTTTTATGAGATAAATTATTTAATTTTTTACCATGCAATCAGAAATCTAGTCAAATATTTATAGCAAGTTTTTAAAAGTTATAAAAGTGTTCTTACATTTTGTTTTTCATATTATTGTAATCATATTAAGATTAAAAAAAAGATATAAAAAAATAAAACTAATATTTAATACTATTTTACCATATCTTAGAATTTAGAAACGAATAGAATTATCTACAGTGCTGCCATTTATTTGCAACTTTCGGCCAGATTTCTTAGCATACTGTTCTCTTCTTACCGCTCGCGCTGCTCGTAACTAAGAAGCGCTTAGTGCGCGTCATAATGTGCTAACGTGCGCGTCATAATGTGCGCGATATAATGTGACAATCTATCTATCTAACAAGGGAAGTGTCACAACTGTCCGGAACCGATTTGATTCTCCTTCAAATATGTTGTTAAATACTCAAAAGCCTAAAAAATTAAATACACAAAAGTCTAAAAGACACGTATTTTTTTATATGTGCGGATTTTGAGTTTTAAGGGGTGAAACACCCCTTTGAAGAAAAACGATATTTTTCTTTAGATTTGAATATTTGCTAAACTATAAGAGTTAAAGAAAAAAAACGTGCAACAAATTTTAATGACTTGAAGAGTACTTTAAAGTTATATGAACAAAATTTTTTTATTTTTTATTTTTTTTTAGAAACTCCTACCATTTCATTTTTTTTCAAAATTAAAATTTTTCTACCTAATTTAAAGCTTATTTTTTCCAAATTCAACCATGTATAATAATGTTATGTTACGAAATATCATTTTCGAAAATTAGTTATAAACGCTTCTGTATATATACGCTCATCCGTGGTATGTGCGTAAGTAATTACCGTCGAACAATAAGATATATAAAAAATATTTATGTATAATTTTTATTTATGTATAATTTTTGTTTTCTATGTATTTATAACTACGTATTGTGTATATTTAAATTTTTAAACAAATTTTTAAATATTATTAATACGAATTTTTCTAATATACCTCCTGGTCTCTTATTATTTCTTTATATTTAATTTCTTCTATAAAAATTAAAAACAATTTTTTTCCAAATTTATCTACCTATAAAAACTATTTTACAATTGAATCTTACGAATACATGTTGCAATATTTGGCATAAACAAATTTTATATTTTACGTCAAATGAATGAGATAAGATAAGATTATGTATACGTGTTCCAGATATGTAAGTTATAATTTTTACAATTGAATTTTTGCGACTAAATACATGTCGCAATATCTGGCATAAACAAATTTTATATCTCACGTTAAATGAATGATAAGATAAGATTATGCGTACGTGTTCCAGATAAGTTATAATTTTTACAATTGAATCTTTGCAAATAAATACATGTCGCAATATCTGGCATAAACAAATATTATATCTCACGTTAAATGAATGATAAGATAAGATTATGTAATTACGTACGTGTTTCTGATAAGTTAATATAAATTGTTCATGTAGCAGCATAATTCTCACAGTCAATGTAGTCTTTTCATTGTATTAAAATCTGTGTAAAGTGTTTTTCTATTGCAATAGAAAGCAAAATTTAACATCTTTGAATATGATTATCAATCCGCTTAACGTTGTTAGACTTTTATCGGTGTCAATAAATTCAATATATCTAACAGAAACGCCAGTAATTGAAGCAGAAGGAATTAAAGGAAAACATAAAAAAGATATTGCTGGATAGTATTTTTCATTATAATAGGTTGGAAGTAACGGAAGAAATATATCTCGATTATAAAGAACCTTATAAATTACATAGTTTTGCAATATTTAAAGATGACGAAGAAGCATGGCATGAAGATAATTTAAATTCTCATCCTCATTGTTCAAATAATGATACAAATTTTGATAGTTCTTATAAAAGACGAGCTATTGAGTATTGGCGACATCGGGACACTGATGAAAACAATAATGACAAAAAAAGGAATCGTCCTCTAAAAGTAGTACAAAGTAAATTTAGAAGAGTTTCATCTGAACGTCAGTTAAGGCGATGGAAAAAACAAATACAATCAGATGGAAGTCGTATAGAAAAATTATCTTACATCTCCAAATTTACACATGATAAATTTACTGCAGCTGTTGAATCAGGATTTATGGTTTATGATATTGATCTGAAAAGATAGACTTTACAAGTTCAAGAAGAAATAGGAAATTTAAATCCTATATGTAAGGCATCTCACAGTTGGATAGCAAGATTCAAGAAGTCTCACCGAATTGTTTCAAGAAAAGAGGTTTGTCACAAAAAGAACATTAGAAGATTCTGATTTGCAACAATCAGCTAATGATTTTCTGGAAGAGTAAAATCTCTTATTGAACAGTTTGGATCTGAAAATATTTACATTCAGATCAAAGTGGTTTCCAATTGGAAATTCATTCTGGAAGATCATTGACTAACCAGGGAGAAAAGAAAATGGAACGTGTCGTGCAATCCATATCATCAACCCATTCATATACGATACAACCAATAATATTCTGTAATGACAATTTGTTGTCTCCTTTATTTATTGTATTAAAAGAAGCTAATGATAAATTTGGACCAAGAGTAGAAGAAAATTTGTTTAAACCAGAAAATGTTAAAGTTGTAAAAGAAGTTGTAAAAGCATTGAAATCTGGTAAAATGACATCAGGTATTTCTCTTTTATAATTACTTTCTTTAACAAACTTATTTCATTTAACAATTTAATAAGAGTCATAAAAAACTATTAAATTAACATTTATATTTTTTACAGACCATTTTAGAATGTGATTAAAAGAAGCTTATTTTGCAAACATTGGTCCTAATATTCTTCCTAGCGTTCTTCTTATCGATTCATTTGGACTGGACATTGCCCTAATACTATTTCGGATTTAATACCTCCAGGAACACATATTCCCAGGTAGCAAGATGACGTCTAAAGACGTCTTAAAGACGTCTATGACGTCATTAAGACGGTATTAAAACGTCATTTGATGTCATTCTGCTACTAGGGTTACTACTGATAATACCGAAAGGAACTACAGGGAAAATACAACCATTAGATGTTTATGGATTCAGAATTTGGAAAAATTTTGCTAAAAGATTTTCAGATATAATTTTACTGTTGGAAAGTAATATAAATTTACATGAACGAAATAATATAATAAAATTACAATCTTTGATACATAATCAATTGTCATCCCACGATATCAAAAATAATCTTATTTAAATAATCGTGGTTTAAAAGTGGTTACACGAATGAAAGACCATACGAATTTGAAAATCCAATACACTTTAATTTTGATGAAACTTTAACAAAATGTAATATCGAAGTTGTAATAATATAGCTGTAATAAGATGTTATCTCTTGGTACAAGAAGTCATGATTGAAACATTTTTTTGTCGAATATTATTATTGTATGTGTATAATGAGTGAATAATGTAAAATACAAATATATTTTTTTTAAATCTAAATATGTACAATATGTAGTTATAAATACATAGGAAACATAAATAAAAATTATACATAAACATTTTTTATATATCTCATTATTCAACGGTAATTACTTACGCATATAGCACGGATGAGCGTATATACGAGAGCGTTTATAACTAATTTTCGAAAATGATATTTCGTAACATAACTTTATTACACATGGTTGAATTTGGAAAAAAATAAGCTTTAAATTAGGTTGAAAAATTTTAATTTTGAAAAATAAAATTAAGTGGTGAGGGTTTCTAAAAAAAAAATAAAAATAAAAAAAATTTGTTCATATAACTTTAAAGTACTCTTCAAGCCATTCAAATTTGTTGCACGTTTTTTTTCTTTAACTCTTATAGTTTAGATATTCGATTCTAAAGAAAAATATCGTTTTTCTTCAAAGGAATGTTTTACCTCTTAAAACTCAAAATCCGCACATATAAAAAATACGTGTCTTTTAGATTTGTGTATTTAACAACATATTTGAAGGAGAATCAAATCGGTTCCGGATAGTTGTGACACTTCCCTTGTAAGTTCTCTTTATTACGTTTCAAAACACAAATATTTTAAATTGTTACAGAACATATACGTAATTAATAATAGAATAATTATTTTTATTATTAATAAACAATAAAGAGAACTTAGATAGATTGCCACATTACATTTGTGACATGCACGTGCCTGAGATTACCGCCACGCTCCTTAATTACAAGCGTTCGCGGTTACTAAGGAGTGCGGTAAGAGGAGAGCGATAGGCGTGAACTAAGAATCGGGCCGAAAGTTGCAAGTAAGTGACAGCACTGATCTATAATATAATTAGTTAATTTTTAATTTAATTAAATATTCAAAAAGAATATAGAACATGAACTCACCTTCTTCTTCTCGTCTTTTAACTTCATTTATTCTAGGTGCTATAGCCATTGAAAATTGATGGGTATCACGGCAAAGTCCCAAAAGAAGTTTACTTTTATCATCGCACCCACTGTAGAGAGTGAACTTATCTGGCTGATCAACCGCCCGGATTTCAAACTTTTTGCGCTGCGTAAAAAATAAAAGAAATTTGTAAGAAATGCGCGCAAATAATACACAAGGAAATTAATAAATGTAAAGTGTTATGTCCAAAGGACTTCACGATTCTTTTTTTCCTCATAACTCAAGCATTTGTGCAAGATTTTTAGCCATTAATGTCAATCAAATCGAAACAGGGTTTTCAGTAAGCGCTCCAAAAACATCAACCGAATATCAATGAGTCATAAAATTGAATATCAATGAGTGTAAAATTTTGAAGATTGCAGCATTCGGTCATAGTCTGATCACAGTTAATATCTATCAGGCGCCAGAATCTAAACGTTGTAGCAAAAATCTTGATATCTTTTTAAAATTCCATAAAATCTTAAAAATTATAAAATATAAAAAAAATAATGACGGATGTCTGACCGATGCGACATACGACTTATCTCTAGGGATAAAAGTCAACTTTTTGTCTTTAGCAGATTCATGGTGTACTTATTACAAAGGACTTACATTATTAAAATAAATGTCACCACCGTACTGATTGTGAGAATCCCGAGCTTCCCCGTTTGAAAGAGATTCTCCTATTTGCAGACGAATCTAATAAAATTCTGATTTGTTATACTTTTCTAAAAATCCATTAAAAAGGAGAGATATTCTTCCGAATGCGAGCCATTAAATTGAACATCGTCCTTGAATCGTAGTTGAATTTAAAAAGTGATCAAAAACAAACAGAAAAAAAATAATTTTAGCCATGACAAGTGTTAATTTTTTTTTATATGTATTAAAATTTTACAAATTAACCTCGCTTCGCATGGAAAAGTGTATACGTGGACACAGTGGGTTCCGCCCCCTTGCGGAGAGTTCTACTACCAAAAAACTAGACACATAGGTTCAGATTGAACCTCCCTTCGCATAGAAAATTGCCAACCCATGTGAAACCTTGCTTCGCGTGGAAAAATGGGAAGTGCCTCGTTTGATCACGATTGCGATTGGCCACAGCCAATTATATCGACTTGTGCCTAGGGTAACCAGCAACGATTGACCACTCAGAGAGTTCTATTTTGAATTGGCCAATTGGAGACGTGGTCAATCGAGTGTCACCCGAAAAACGTATATGTGGACATAAAGAGTTCTGCCCCACGTAAGAGAACAAATTTTAATACATATGAAAAAAAATTAACACAAAACTTGCTAGGGCAGTAGTGATATAGGGCTGGTTCTAATTCAAGTTCTCTCAGAAGGGTGGAAAGGGGGATTTGGAAGGCGCGAGGGGGATTTCGGAGGCACCGAGGAATGACGTCACGCGGGATGGAGGGGATTTCGGAGGCGCGAGGGGCTGCGGGGCAGGGTACGCTTGTTTCGGCGCATATTAAATGTTTTATCGCAAGTATAAGCAATATTATATTACATACCCGGTTGATAAACAATATAAACAATATTACATATGTTGATGTCCGGTTTATAAACGATATAAACAGCTGCATTCCTTTGAAAGACAATGCGTGCGAGAGAGAGAACGATAGCGCGAGGAGAACGTGTGCGAGAGGGAGGGAACGGTAGCGCGAGATTATTGCGTATGAAAGAGAGAATGATAAAGACTTATAACTAGCGCGAGAGAGATAGCGCAAAGGATGGAAATATGTGCGAAGAAATTCGTCATGATTTAGTAAACTTAAAACTCTTTATTCTTGTTTTTACATATTTTTTTACGTACTATGTGGACTAAAAACTAAAGCTGCTAGCTCGCAATCGACGAGTTGATGCTTGTTGAAAGCGTCACTCACGCGTATTACATTTGATATTTCTTTCGAATTTATTAGAGTGGACGCGATATTGGAGAATTGTGTAAACTTGGCATCAACTCTTTCGATAATTTTATCCAATCAATCGAAAGTTACATCTATGCATTGATCGAGATCGAACATACAATGTAACGTCGATTCAATCATCATCATGCATACGTTTGAAAATTCGAGACTTATGAGTTTGACGTCGTTAATCGTACGAACTCTCACTGTTAGCGGTCCAACGCTTATAAAATTGTAGTCATCTTTAGAGTCGTTCCGAAGGAAATTTTGAATATTGCGACGTTGAGTCCCTTCCACGTTTCGAAAGATAATATCAGTTCCTTTCCTCGATGATCTCCTATGACAATCTCCACGTAACTCGGTGAATCCACGTTGATACCAATTTCGAGGAATTTGAATTTCGTAGCTGTCAATGCGTATCGTCTAGCTAGTATACGAATCGCACGACGCTCCAACGAAATGCTACAGAAAAAATTAAAATTAAATAATACTAATAATAATAATAGTAATACAATTTGTAAAAATAAAAAAATAGAAAAAAAGTTAAACGAAACTTACTTGTCACATTTGTTCTCAAACAATGGAGTTTTATTACGACTCAGTACATAATTATTCACGCGTCTTCCGATGCCGCTGCTGCTGCTTCTTTCGACGTAGTATATTCTCTGGGGAAAAGTGAACCACGAGCAGTTAACGCAACACTAATCGTACAGGAATTAACGAAGTATACGTGACATAAGCAATATTCCAAAAATATAATGTGGTGGGAGATCAATGCTTCTAACGCATTGAAATTTAGGAGAAGGGGGAGACGGCGCTCAGACAAAAGATTCTTAGAAACGCAAGGAAAGGATTTGGGTGGGGAAATAAGAAATAAACGTATTAATGTTTACATATTTTATTTTTCTTGCAATTCTTTCTGGCGTTGCAACCACCAATTAAATATTTTAAATACATTTTGTAATGCGCAATTCTTAACATGTTTTCCACATCGCATACTACTGGTATTATCTAATTTATTTAGAGCATTAATATCTTTATAGTTTGCATACAAGGTTTCAATAATATAGTCGTTTCCCTCATCGTCTAATATATCGGTCAGCCATTTTCGCTTTTCAAGTTCTTTAACGTACACGACAGATGATCCTTCTTCTTTATCGTTCCAACGACACCTTTTATAATTACACGCTGAGCCAAGCCATCTGAAACGTTTCCATCTTCCCATTGTAATCCGTGATGATTTCTAATCATCCATAAGACTTGACGTCGGTCAGATTTTGTAAGCACACTCCACGGTACAGGACTTGCGAAAAAGTAATGTGAGAGAACATATCCCTTTCTCAGGAATGTGCATAAACGCCAATATTATGCGCAAAGTCCATTAAAGAGCAACAAGAGATACAAGCATAAACAAATAATTGTACCGTTGATGTCAATCGAATCGAAAAAGAAAAAATCTGGAACGGGAGTATTCATGCCTCGCACGATGACGCTAACCGACAATAAAATTGATTACGTGCACTGGGACGACTCCAACGAGCTAGTGGATCGCTTACGATTGCTCGACGTTTCGCGCCGAGCTAGCCACAATGCTTATGACAACGAGATTCTGTCATTCTCGATCATCGATGAACTTTGTGAAGTCGGCCTTATTATAAATTAAACGGTGTCTCGACAAAACTAATCAGCCGATCGATGTCATTCGCATCGAAAAAAATGCCTATCAATAAATTTGGATTATTCAAATGGAGAAATGAAGAAATCAGCACAAGCGATCATTGAAGTAAATTGGTGACAACTTGCGTCAAAACGCTCTGTGTCGCGTCACTACGGACTATGACGCGAGGTCGCGCAAGATTCGTCGTATAGCGCAACTTGAGGCTCATACCGATGCAGTCAACAAACTATACGTGAAACAATATGCATTAAAACGTTAAAGAATTAAAATAGAAAGAATCAGATGAGAAGTTGATCGCGTTCGAGAAGGATATGCGAGCTTTGCAGACTGCGATAAACGAACTTCGGCGTACAATTAACACTAATTCAGAAACAGCTACGAACAGCTAAGGAACGGCAACGAACGAGTCAGAAACGGCTATTGAACGGCTATGAACGGCTATCAAACGGCTAAGGAATGGCTATGGACCTCCTCCCACATACATCCCTATCTATCTTTGGAGGCCTGCCCCGGCCCTATATTAGGATCCATCCGCCACTGCTATTTGGTACAGTGGGGATTTTAGTATATTCTCTAGAGGGATCTTGGGGGATGTGGTCATTCTACGGCGTTGTGTTCGTTGGTGCCGTTTTCACACGGAAGGCCAGTCGGAAGCCAGCATATATGCGAATACCTCCACCGGCACTTATTTGGTCAACGAGCCTTTCAGGGATCCTCCGTGGCAATCAGCATTGCATCCATCGAGTGAGATACCAACATCGCTCTGGAGTCGCATATCACTGTTAAAAAGTAACATTAGGTGTGAGATCTGGATAGCTCAGTGGTCTAGAGCAGTTGCCTGGAAAGCGAAAGACTCGGGTTTGATTTCTGATCCAGCCACTTGCACCTCACATATTTTTCTAGTCTGCGAATATTGTTTTCTAGCAATTATTCGTCAGGCTGAAAAATGTGTGAATGTTCTCTCCACAGGATATGCGTCAATGCCGTTGCCACGGATGGATTCTGTCGCTCGTTGATCAAATGGACATAAAGACACGTCCGACCTCCTCCCACATACATCCCTATCTTTCTCTGGATCGAAACAACGATCGAAAATAACAGAGATAACGAAGAAGAAGAATGGCTACGAACGGTAGCGGACGATAAAGAACGGCTATTGAAAAATGACAAACGGTAGTAAACGGCTCAGAAACAGCTACGAATGGCTAAAGAGTGACAACGAATGATAACGCACGGTGATACTCGAAACACGTATCGTTTGATCGACTAATCGAAACAACAATGGATCGACGATCGTAAATAACGGAGGAAGCGAAGAAACAACATAGTTTAGAGAAACGGCAGTTGGTGAACGAAGTTCTACCGGTGCACACACCGGCTAGAAAAAAATTTCCCCGAAGACATGTCATAGTGCGAGGATGCGATGACTTGTGACAAGCTGATATCGTCGAGATGCATTCGTACTCTGATTTCAACAGAGGTTACAACTACATACTCACTGTCATTGATGTGTTGAGCAAGCACGCGTGGGCTGTACA